CACCACCCCCCTGACCCCCCCTCCCAGGCCAACATGCGTTTCGCCATCAACTTCTTCACGTCCATCGGGCTGGGGGGCATCACGGACCGCATGCGCGAGCTCTACAAACAGGTGGGGACACCTGGACAATGACGGCGCGCGCGCGTGCGCGGCGCCGCCGCCCCGCCAGGGGGCCCCCTGCCGGTCGCAGGCGTCGCTGGCCGGCCGGCCCCGAGGCCCTGGTGGCCAGCCCCAGCGCTCGCGACGACGAAGCGACGCGCCAGGCAAAGCACGCCGAGCCGCGCTCAGCCCGAACTCACGTGCCACCCATAATGCAACTTGGGTGTGGCGCATCACGCTCCCACCGCCGCCGCCGGCACGTCTGTCACGGCACACCTCCTTGCATCACGACTCATCACATCACACCGCGTGACATCTCATCACGTCTCATCACGTCACGTTGTGTCGCTGTGCGCCGCAGATGCCGAGGCTTCTGGCGGAGCGCGCCGCGCGGGAGAGGGAGGAGGCCGAGAAGGCCGCGGCCGCGGCGCGCGCGGCTCGCGGGGGCGACAGCAGCAGCAGCGACGACTCGTCCAGCAGCGACGACTCGAGCAGCAGCAGCGACAGCAGCAGCAGCGACAGCAGCAGCGACGACTCCAGCAGCAGCGGCACGACCACCAGCAGCAGTAGCAGCAGCGACTCCGAATCGGAGGACTCCGGGCGGCGCGGCAAGGGGCGCAGCGGGGGCAGGGGCCGAGACGACCGGCACCGCGGTGGCGGCGGCGGCGGCAGCAGTGGGCGTGAGCGGCCGCGCAGCCCGCCAGAGCGCAATGGGAGCCGCGGCGGCGCGGAGGGCGACGCCCGCGCCGCACGCCGCGGCGGCGGTGAAGGGGGCGGGCGCGGGGAGCCGCTGAGGCGGGGCGACGAGCGGCGTGGGGGGGCGGACAGGGAGCGCGGCGGCGCGGACGAGCGCCGCAGGGACGACGAGCGCCCCGGCGGGGCCGACAGGGACCGCAGCGGAGGCCGCGAGCGCGACAGGGGGCGCGACGAGCCCCGGGACCGGCGGGGCGGCGGCGACGAACGCCGTCGCGGCGGCGAGGAGCGCGAGGGGGGCCGCGGGCGTGGGCGGGACGAGGACCGCGGCCGGGACGAGGACCGCGGCCGGGACGAGGACCGCGGTCGCGAGAGGGGCGGGGGCCGCGAGGAGCGCGGGCGGCGCGACAGCCGTGAGGACAGGGACAGGCGGCGCTGACGGCGCTGACTGCGCCCCGCCGGGGCCGTGTGTTCCGACGCCACTGCCCGCGGCTGCGTGCGCTGTTCTTGCGGACCCTGCAGTTTTGGAGGGCGGGCCAGGTGCAGTGGTTGGGTGATGGGGGGCACAGGCAGGCGGCGAGTGGCCTACGTCCCCCGCTGTCGTGCTAACACCACCCAACAGAGCCCACCCAACAGAGCGGTATTTGTAACTGTTTTGTCAGCCGGATCCCTTTGAGCAGTCCTCAGGCCGCCCAATAGGGCTGAAGATTGCTGCTGCACCTCCCCACAACAGAGTATCGACGCGAACGGGTGTGCCATAGCCGCAAGTGCCGGCAGAAGCGCAGGGGGCTGCGCTGACACAGGTGGCACCTGGTGCTTTGAAATTGATGCGCAAAAACACAAAAAACACCCCCATTCGGCACATCGCCCGCAGTGTTGCAAAGTGCCCTGTGCTTGCTCGATCGGCGCTGGCGTGGCCGCAGCAACCAGGCTGCCAAGCTGCGCCTGCCAGCTGTCGCCGCGCGAGCAAGTCCCCGGGCAAACGCGGCTCCCTTGTACGTGCACACCCGCGAGCGCGCGAGCGCCCTGCGGCGAGCGAGCGCCCCAGCAGGCGCCCGCTCGCTCTCTTGACGCTGC